ATATTATCTCACTTATATAAAATTCTGGAAAATACAAACTAATCTAGAGTGACAGAGAGGAGATCAACAGCTTCCAGGAGATAAGAATGGAGAAAAGGAGGGCTCAAGATTACAAAAGGTCAAGAAGTTTTTGAGGATGATGGAAAGGTTCATCTGTATGTTAGCGATTTCCTAAGTGTATACATATGTCAAAACCTATCAAATCATACACTTCCAATCTGTGTAGTGTAGGTTAATTATACATCAATGAAAAAGAAAAGTCTATCTCTATCAAATTGGAAAGGCACCATGGAATACTCTGTGGATTATGATCTAGGAAATCCAGCAAAAAGGGTCTGCCTCCGTCTGTCCATCTCCAGTGAAAGGGATAGATAACAGGACTCTCAGGACTCTTCTAGCTATGATAGGAGAGCTACTGGGAATCTTCTCCTTTCCATCTGGACTTGCAAAGCTGGAAAAGGAGCTTGAAGTGGCACCAAAGATGCCCTTGGGTAAAGACACAGGATTGACACTGGTGCCAGGGATAAACCAACTGAATGAAAAGTGCTCCTAAAATCTTTCCTGCCCCTTTTAAGACCTCACTGGGCAGGGAAAGACCATATTAGACACTTGGCCAGTTTGAAGACTGTATGTCATGCCCACAGGTAGACTCAATTGTTAGCATGTTGACATTTGAACTAAAGAGACAAGGTATGTGGACCCATTTGAGAATAAAACCTCTAATTTAAGATTGTTCAGGAGGCTATGTGAACACAAGGATGAACTTTTATTTCCCATACACCAGGCAACACCGTATCTAAGAGTTCATTCAGCCTTCCATCAGTACTGTAAGATAGGTACTAGTGCCCTTACCAGGTCCTAGAATTGAGTTGCAGAACTTGCCCAATGTCAGAAAGCTATTGAGAGGAGAACTGCTAGGATAAACTCTAGTCTACTGTGATTGAAGTCCCCAGTCTCTCTCACTGTTCTGAAGTTTTGACCTCGAAGAAAAGTTGGATGTTAGACAGAGTCAGGAACTGTCTCTGTTTGAATGGCCAGGAGACAGACAGGTAGCTCATGTCATGTAAATGACTGACTGTGTAGGCAAGGGTGTGGGTGCCCACATGTAGAAGGTAGCACTATCGTGAGAGAGAAAGCCATGACAGGAGAATCATTGTCCTGAGCAGAAACCTCCCTTCCATGGGGTGGGGTCCCAGGAGAGCTGGTCTTCTGTTCAGAACATGTCCAGGCCCCTTCTCAGGAGGCCTGTCATCTATCTCCAGATTGTCTGACAACACGGGACAGCACTAACTCTGAGGAGTCCCTGTCTCTGGACCATGGATTTCCTATGCCACAGGTACCACTGTCCCAATCCAGTATATCCAGTTACCTTCTCTTCTCTTCCAAATCTCAGAATTATGCCTTCCACAGGTCACATGCACAATGCCAACACCATCCCTCTGAGCCCTCCCCCTCACCCCTCCAGGCACACAGAAAAACTCTCTGTGAATGCCCACACTTTCTTCTTGCCTGCATCTCTCAGCTGGACTCTCCCACATTGTTTAAGACTCAATTCAAATGCCACCACCTCTTAGAAGTTTTTTCTGACCACACGGACAGGTTTGCCATCCCTCCAGCAGGGTTATAAATGCACCCGGTGAACCCCTCTGTTTTCTTTGCTGTCACACTGCCTACCACTGTCTGGTCTCTGGTGAGTCACTCCAGCCAGTCTGTGAAACCCTGCAGCTGGCACATGGAGGTGCTTAGTAATCATTTATGGACTAAGTGGACAGATGAACTCTTAATGATGTTATTTGTGAGTAAAAGTCATGTGCAGTGTTGTTAGCCACCGTGATGTTAGCAGTTGATGCTCCCCATTGCATCCCCAAGCCTAGTATATGTAATTCCAGGAGGCTCACCCAGCAGGCGATCTGATGGAGAGAAAATTAGGTTTCCTGTCCCCACCAATACTTCCCTTAAGGGGAACAAAACATGAAGTTTATAGGCTGAGAGCCACTGACTCCTAGCAACTGGGTCCCCAACATTGCTTGCCTTTAGAAGTTTGGCTCTTTCTGTTCTAAGACTATTCATGGTCAGTAAGCCTGACAGCCACACCCCAGAGGACATTGAGAAACAGTACTGCTGTCAGAAGGAGAGAGACCCTCGGGTGGCTTGTCCAGCCAGGGCCTGAGCAGAAGAAAAGCAAGGGAGCCAGTATCACGCAGCGGCAAGGTGCCCTTTAGCATCAGGAGTGGGCTCAAAGAAATTAGTGGTTTAGGTCACCTGGTGAAAATAACGAGGCTGACCCCAGGAAACACTAATTATAATCAGGTCAGCAGGACTCTGTTAGTGAAAAGAGATCTATGCAGCCTCCTGACCTCTATTCGGATGGTTATTTGCTACTTTTGCAATGATTAGCAATTGTATGCCAAGCACCTTCACAGGGGGTGAAACATCTTTCTCACTAAACACTAGTTTATATTAAAAACTACAAACACCAGATGAATTGGAAGTTTAACAGAATTAACGAGCATGTCACAAAATTAAGTTTTATCCAGTCCAAATCCTTCCTGCAACAATTATGTTCCGGAAGGGGCAGGGAGCTTGCAGTTATCAAATAAAACTGGCTAAATAACAAAACACAATTCTCCCCGTGTCACTGCCTCAAATTTACTCTGCTGTTGCAAGATGTCATGATAAAGGTGATGGCAATCTATATAAAACATTGTTATTGGAATAGTCTTTGAAAGTTGCAGTGTGACTTAGTCTTTGCATTTGTCCGGTGGTCCCTGAGGCCGGGCTGGACGTCTGGCGCTTTGGCGCCCCCTAGCCATCCGGCACTGAACAAGTTTCTCCAACTGTAATGCGAGGGAAAAAAGAAGAAAACCAAGAATAAAACATACTTTTTAAATCCTTTCCAAAAAGACAGTCTTTCTTATCTTCCCCTCTCCACTCTCCAGATGATAAAGCTGAGTAAAAAGTGCTACACTAACTAGTCAGTCCAGGCTCCGCTGTAACATTGCACTAACCAGAACTGCAGACCTGCGACCTCAAGAATTGCATTTGATGCCGAACCCAGCTCTAATTTCAGAGTCAAGGTCTCTGCAAGTATTTAAGGAACGGATGTAAACCTGCGGGATTCGTTTTGTTTCCTTCAATTTTTCAACGAAATCAGAGATCCTGTTCGTGAGTGTCAACGCAGACACTAGAAGGAGGTGATACAGGAGAAAGGAAACAGCAAGTGACGATTATGGCGCGGTTTCCTGTAAACAAGGTTGAGTGTAGCCACAGCCTGAGCACTGTGGGGGAAGAGCTCATAAGATAATGACAGGGCTGGGCCTTTGTCACCCTGGGACCCTCCATTGTTCTTGTCTTTGGTCTCTTTTTCTTTGTAGAGATCCAATTATTTATTTATTTAGTACAAGAGGGAACGAAATTGGTCTTTCCATTCCAAAAGGAGGATGTATAGATATGTATAAAAGGAAGATGTATAGACATGGGGGAAGAGGTGGACAGGGGAAAAAGGGGAGAGGACCAGAGAGAGAAAGGGAGGGAGAAGAACAAGAAGAGACACTGGGCGAGAGATCGATTAGGAGAGACAGAAATGATGAATGAAGATTAACTTCACCCAAGGCTTCATGCTGGGGGGGAATGGAGGAGCTCCTGATTTGTTGTTGCTACCCCAAACTGCAAAGGACTCCTTCAAGTCACCTATCCACCTCCTAAGGCAAGCGTCCAATTTCAATAGCGTTCAGGAAAGTCTCCTCCCGCGGAGGTCTCACAGCTTCCCACTCCACCCCCACAAACTCTTTGGAAAAGCGCCTTGAAAAATTTAATCCTCAATCCAATCCTGGACCACCAGCGTCCTCTGTTGGTCACCGAAGGGAGGGGGTGTGCAGACAAAATTGAAGACGCTCGAGTGCCAGAGAAGACCGACAGGAGTTACAGCGACCTCAGCGCGCATTTGCGCCCCCGAACTTTACTGAAAAATGCTTAGATTGCAGAGATAAACGAGAATCCCAACGCATCAAAGAGAATACAGTATTACGAAGTCGCCTTCAAAAAATGACAATGAAAATTGCCTATTTTAAGGACTATTTGGTTAATTACGCTTCAGCAGTGCCCACTTTATTGTCTTTGCTATTCTTTTGTCGTGAGTGTAAACTCTATTTGAAAATGTAATCAGGGAGAATATCCCAAACAGGAAGAACAGTTGTCATTTAAAATAGGTGAAAAGCCCTGCCCTAAGGACGCATTACCTTGCCTGTCCACTCTTAATTGGGGACTTGCGGTGTAGCAACACGTGTGAGTTTTCTTGTGTTGAGAAGCAAACCTCGTATGGGGCAAAGGCCCCGGGCGCATCTTTAGATGCGTATTTGTGGGCCCCGGGGACATCTTCAGATGCGTATTTGTGGGCCCCGGGGACATCTTCAGATGCGTATTTGTGGACCCCGGGGACGTAAACAGCCCAGTGGGTGTAAATTAAATCCCGCAGTGCCTTGGCTCCCTGAGACCCAAATGTAAATCAGAAATGTCCCAAGACTTCCCCTGCCAGCGGAATTAAATTTTAGAAAGCTCCACAAGGTACACACGAAAGCGGAGCGATGCATGCCAGTTTCCTCGACACCGGCTCGCCGCAGGGCGACCTCGCCCCGAGAACGGAAGGGGGAAGGGCGGCGGGGTCAAGGAGATCGGGGGTGCTGAGTTAGCCAGGAGTGACTGGGGTGACCGGGGGCACTGAGGTGGCCTGGAGTGCCGAGGTGACCGGGCACATCTTGGTTCCTGTAGACGACAAGGTGACCCGGGCTCCGGGCTTGCGCAAGAGGAGCAGGTGTCCGGGTGAGTCGCGAGCTGCACGCCCCCGAGCTCGGCCCCGGCTGCTCAGGGCGAGGCACGCGCCCCCGCAGCCGTGCCTGCGCCGACCCGCCCCCCTCCCCAACCCCCACTCCTGGGCGCGCCGTTCCGGGGCGTGTCCTGGGCCACCCCGGCTTCTATATAGCGGCCGGCGCGCCCGGGCCGCCCAGATGCGAGCGCTGCGGCTGGGCGCTAAAGATCGGCGGCTGCCTGCCTGGATTCCACAGCCTCGCGCCGCGTACTGTCGCGCCATCCCTGCGAGCCCCGGCCTGCCAAGCAGCGTGCCCCCGTGGCGGGCGTCATGCAGCGGGCGCGACCCACGCTCTGGGCCGCTGCGCTAACTGTGCTGGTGCTGCTCCGCGGGCCGCCGGTGGCGAGGGCTGGCGCGAGCTCTGCGGGCTTGGGTCCCGTGGTGCGCTGCGAGCCGTGCGACGCGCGTGCACTGGCCCAGTGCGCGCCTCCGCCCGCCGTGTGCGCCGAGCTGGTGCGCGAGCCGGGCTGCGGCTGCTGCCTGACGTGCGCGCTGAGCGAGGGCCAGCCGTGCGGCATCTACACCGAGCGCTGTGGCTCCGGCCTCCGCTGCCAGCCGTCGCCCGACGAGGCGCGCCCGCTGCAGGCGCTGCTGGACGGCCGCGGGCTCTGCGTCAACTCTAGTGCCGTCAGCAGCCTGCGCGCCTACCTGCTGCCAGCGCCGCCCGCTCCAGGTGAGCCGCCCGCGCCAGGTGCGCTGCTCGCAGCAGCCCGCTCACTGGCGCGGAAGGGCCTGGGGGTTGCTGGGTGCCGCTGCCGGAGACTCGGGTTTTCTTCTCACTGGAGATAGTATGTGGGGAAACTGAAGGCGCTCACCGGAGGGACCCTCCCCTGCCGGCCCTCTACTTGCTTGATTCTCTTAAGTGCAGAGTACTTGTAAATTGCAAAGCGCTTTCAGTGAAAATGGGTTAAAGGTTTCCGGAGCTGGGGGGAGCGGTACCGACGTTTAGCTCTTGGAAAGATCCTGGACACAGGAGATTCTCCTCGCGCCGCACGGGGGTGTGGACCGCAATCCCAGGGATGCTTGGGGATGGGGACATAGGCGGATTTGGACCAAGGAAGGTGGGCAGGTAGGTTGTAGGAAATAGTACCTCTCTTTTAAAATACTGACTTTGAACAGCCTTTTTGTTTGCAAAGCGATATCTAGTCCCGGTGTGTCCAAAAACAAGTAAAGTGGATTCGGGTTTTGGTATCTTCTGCGGTTGGAAAACCTGAAGTTGAAAAAGAAGTAACTTCTTAAGGTTACCCAGAGGCCGCAACAGAGTGTAGGTTTGAACCCCACGTGCCACTTTTAGTACCATACCATTCTTACAACTCAGGCCACCTCCGCACCTGTGCGGACCTCAAACAAACGTCCAGGTGCGTGGCGGGTGCGGGCAATGTGGACTAAGTCAATTTCAATGACAGGGAAGGGAATTGGAATCAGTCCTAGGGCTGTCTCCCTTCTTAATCTGAAATGGGGGGGAATGAGATGTTAAGGGGAGCCCCAGAAGAGGAAAAATGCAAACATTTGGCAGAGTTACCCTCTTGGCTCAGCCACTACCAGTCTATCAGGCAGGCAGCGACTCTGGTAAGGGCATCACATTGTTCCCTTAAAAAAGCGGGGCGGGGGGGCGGGGGGCGTTGTTTAAGTGGATTTGGCAGGCGTTCATCTTTCAAGCATTCTTAGCCAGCCTCACTTAGTTATATGAGGAAATAAAGTTCCTGCCTTGCACAGCTGAAGGCTGAGAGAATTCTCCCCATCCTAATCCCCCCAACTCCCCAACGATCACGTTGGACAGATGTCACTAGGCAGGCCCCCATCTAGGGCTAGCAGGATGAACAGTCTCTTTATAATTTATGTAGCTGTAGAGTTCCATACCCAGGTAAAGTTATTTTCTGGCTAGGCAAGGCTGGCTCTGTTCACCCCTGAGAAACACTGGATTCATGGAAAGGCAAGATTCCAGATGCCTGAAACATACACTGGCTGTGGTCAGCTGTTAAAGCTGCTGGAGGCATTTGTCCCTCGGGACAAAGTTATGTCATTTGCCAAGTGTTGTACATTATTGTGCATGTTGGGGTGTTCAAAAAGTGATCTTAGAAATACTGATACACATTGTCACTTAGGCTTCAGCAATCATGATTACCGTCTTAGTAGCTCTGTTGTATAGGTTAATGTGAGCTATAAGATTATAAAAAGATCTAAGTGACTTCTAGAATGCATTTGACAAAAAAAGGTGAATTTGTGACAGTCAAAAGTCACAATTATCTGTTGCTTAAATAGAACTGTTTTCTCTTCATGCCCTAGTCTGCAGCCCAGGCATTAAGAAGAAACCAAGGAAATTTAAGAAATTACTCAAGGTTCTTGGAAAAGAAATATAAATATGTTTATTTACATGTTCTTAGAATATTTACATTCTTAGTATCTCTTTTATCTCAGTATTTCCTTGAAAAAGAAAGAAAGCTAAGATTAAAAGAAATTGAAACCAAATCCTCACAGGTAGGGCGCTCCTCTGCGAGGCTCTGGCCTGGACCCTGGGAATGTGTGCTTCCCAAGGCGTGAAACCCCTTGGGGAACTTTACAGCAGGACCTCAGTGAGCTGTTTGGTAGGTGAGGAAACTAAGGCCCTGGTGAGTGACCTGCCAGTAGCCACTTCCAGGGGAGAGCAGAGCATCTGCAACCAAATCATTGCAGCCCTGGTAGCTTTCTAGAATAGATTGTGGACCAGATGGGCCACCTGAGCTCCCTGCTAGGGTTACACATTATAGTCTTGTTTGTTGTAGTAGAGAAATTTCATGACTCTCAATTGTGGACTTAAGCCGAAGCCCTTCAGAGGTCTGTGCTGGGCTGAGCTTGGCATGGTCCACAGGCTCTGGGAGCATGGGCTCTGAATGTAGCCTTTGATCCCCATAGGGGTCTTACAGCCCCTCCAAGTTCATTCTGAAAAAGGAATGGAGTGAGAATCCTGCCCACAGATCCAGTCTCGAATTTAGTCATATACTTAAAATTCTAATTCAACTGTTAACATTCCAGCATCTATTTTAAGTATCAGACTTTCTTCATTTAGCACTTTTTATTATAAAAGGGAGATCTGCTGGAGGGGGATTTCTCCTACCCCATCCCCACCCAGGGAAAGAAAAGCTCTTTGGCACTTAGAAGTCTGAGCTGTGAGTGGGACTTTGGCACTGTCTGCATCCATGTGCTCCTGTGCTCACCAGGGATGAAGAGGACTGACTCAGGCAGGTACCAGCAGGATGCACAGGGTCTGTGTAGACCTTGAGTTTTAGAGATGTAACGGGGACCTAGAAAACAAGCCACCAACATGCTTGCATGATTCTGAGCCCCTGAGGCAAAACGCTTTGCAGGTAATAGTTCAGTTTTCCCATCTGAGCTGGACACCAAGCTCTTATAAGCATGTTTACCTGATAGCATTGAGGACGGTACTGGTCAACCTCGGAATTCCCATAAGGGCTTGTTACAACTCAGACTGCTGCCGCCACTCCAGCGTTTCCGGAGTGGAGAATATGCATTTCTTCCAAGTCCTCCAGGCTGCCGCTGCTCCCACGGGTGGGAGGACCACACTTGGAGTTCACTGCAAAATTTCTGAGCCAGCGCCGCAGCAGCCTCCTGTGACTCGGGTCTGCCCCCTGCCGGTGGAAGATGAAGCATACTGCCTTCACCTTCTACTGAGGGGCACTTAAGCATTTGTCTGCCTTTAGTTGCAGCTACTTAGGAAGAGCCCCTGTCAGATTGACTTTCAAACAGATAACTTCTTGAGGTAGAGCAACTACCATGTAGCGAGTGGTACTAAGGACTAATATTTCATCGAGGTATTTTTAAAAAAAAACTTATTTGGATTGTCAACTAATATTGTCATTTACATGTGACCTGGTTGCAACATTAAGATTTTTAAAAGACTGTTGATAGATGTTGATGACTGTCACGTGTTTGTCTCCCTTGGGCGTTTCAAGGAAATGCTAGTGAGTCGGAGGAAGACCGCAGCGCCGGCAGTGTGGAGAGCCCGTCCGTCTCCAGCACGCACCGGGTGTCTGATCCCAAGTTCCACCCCGTCCATTCAAAGATAATCATCATCAAGAAAGGGCATGCTAAAGACAGCCAGCGCTACAAAGTCGACTATGAGTCTCAGAGCACAGATACCCAGAACTTCTCCTCCGAGTCCAAGCGGGAGACAGAATACGTGAGAGCTTTTCCTCTTGTTAAACGAGGAGGGCAAGACCTGCCAAGCCTGGGTACTCAGAGCCTCTTGAGGGCAATTCTTACTCCACAAGCCCCAGCATCTGGCAGATGGGTGGGCAGTCCCTAGCCCCTCTGTGCCTCACATCTCTCCTCTCCTTACATAAAGAATATTGACCCTTTTGGAGAATCTTATGAGGATCAAGCTGAAACAACACTCTTAAAAGCATATGGGATGTCATAAAGACCTCTAGAGATAATGAAAAATATTCTCATAAAGATAGTTTTATTTTATTTACTTCATCCTCTGTGCTTGTTGACCTGCTATTGGTTCTATACCAGCTTCTGTGACTTACTCTGGGAAGAGCAAAAGGGAGACAGGGAGTGATGGTTAGCTTATTTGAGGGACTTTCTTGCTAAATCAGGCATAAGGTATCTGAGGAGCAAATTACAGGTCCCACTTTGGGCAGTCGTGCGGCATTGTAAGATTTTTAAAGCACACATTCTAGAGTAATAACCATGACTGTGTTGCTCCGGTCCTTCCTGATCCCCAGGGTCCCTGCCGGAGAGAAATGGAAGACACACTGAATCACCTGAAGTTCCTCAACGTGCTGAGTCCCAGGGGTGTGCACATTCCCAACTGTGACAAGAAGGGATTTTATAAGAAAAAGCAGGTAAGTGAGGTCCTCAGTGTGTTTTCTTCCTCTTCGGGTTCTGTTGACGCAGAGGAGAAACCCACCTCACCAGCCCCAAGGCTCTTCTGGCCATAGCTCTAACTCTGAGCCTGTGCAGCGCCAGTGCCCAGGACTTGGTGCCAGTCTCAGGAGGTAAGACCAAGGGCTGTTTTGACTTGTTGCTCTGAGTGCTGCTCTATTGGCCATAATCCTCAACCCTAGTGCCTTTCCACCACCCACTTCCCGCTCCTGCCCTTTCAGTGGTTCACCCACAGGGTGGACAAGGTACTGCCCAGGGGCACCCTTTATAAACTGCAGGTGAACATGTTGACACATTTGTTAATGCTGCGTCCCATTTCAAACAACTATTACAGTCAGTTTCCAAGAAGTGTGACATGAGGTCGTACCACAAAAAGCTTACCTTGAAATCCCACAATTGTCCCCTTTTCTACTGATGCCTTCCTGATAGTGAGCAGGTTGCAATATTAAGATTTTGAAAAGACCGTTGCTAGATGTTGATGACTCCTATGTCTCTGTCTCCCTTGGGCTTTTCAAGGAAATGCTAGTGAGTTGGGGGAAGACTGCAGCATGGCCAGCTTGGAGAGCCCAACCATCCCCAGCACACACCAGGTGTCTGTCTTACATGGAGGGGATGGAACTTGAAATCAGACACTCGGTCCATGCTGGGGACGGCCAGGCTCTCCAAACTGGCCATGTTGTGGTCTTCCTGTGACTCACTGGCCTTTCCCTAGAAAACCCAGGTGAGAAGAAGGCATGAGAGTCATCAACATCAAACAGCAGTCTTTTCAAAATCTTTGTATTGCAACACAGTCCTATACCTGGAAAAGGAATGGAGTGAGAATCCTGTCTATACATCAGTCCCAAATGTAGTCATATGCCTAAAGTCCCAATTAAACAAGCTGAAAATGATCAAACAAATTTAAGGTATAGTAATATGAAGCTGTAATAAATATGCTTCTGTAGATTTTGTGTTATGTGATGGCACTGTTTCAATTGGCTTTCTAATTGGTATCTACAGAATTGGCCTTCGGAGACCTAAGTGAGCCACAGTGGCCTCAGGGTGACCATATACCAGGATTCGTAGTAGTGGCCACAGTCAGAAAGCCTAAGCTTTCCTCCATTGCCATGGCTTATTTATACCCACATTTTACATCAGTCATTCATTCAACAAATTCATACTGAGAAGGTGTCGTGTGAGGCTGGATGTGGGCTCCAAAGGCACAGCTGTGGCATTCCCAGGCAGAGGGGATATTCTCAGTCCCACATTTGGCAGAGAAGTCGGCAGGCCCAAGAGGTTCTGCAAGGACTGGTGTCCACCTTACACTCCTAGAAACACAAAACTGCCCCCACCCCCGCATTCTTGGAGAAGGAACTTACACCCACACGCATGCACAGGTACACAGTCAGCAGGCCTAGGCATGCGTGGCTCTTACGCAGCCTTAGCTGAAATTTCTGTTATGCTTTCTCAGCATAGCAGAGTCATGCTGGCAAACCATCATGGGCCCTGGTCACCGACCTGACACCAGACCCAGGGGCGTTCACCTCTCTGTCTTCTGTTTCTCTCCCACAGTGTCGCCCTTCCAAAGGCAGGAAGCGGGGCTTCTGCTGGTGTGTGGATAAGTACGGGCAGCCTCTCCCAGGCTACACCACCAAGGGGAAGGAGGACGTGCACTGCTACAGCATGCAGAGCAAGTAGACGCCTGCCGCGAGGGTGAGCACTCAGGAGGGGCAGCCTGGGGCTCCAGGGCCTCACTGTCCTTGGACTAGCCTCATGGGCTGGGCTTGGCCACCAGCCCTTCCCCAGGCTTGCAGACCCAGGAACTGCAGCTCAGGGCCAGAAAGAGCAAAGCAAATAGGACAGAGCCCTCAGAAGGGTGCAGGGAGAGGGAGACCCCTTCAACCCAACCAAACAAGTGTGGGGAAGGAGGCCGGCCAGTGTGCCTCAGGGATGCTCTGCTTTATTTCAGACACCTCTCAGCACCTAAGCTGTCATTCATCCACATGCAAAGTGAAGATTTTCAAAGTTAGGCTTTGCCCGTGAAGTCTGGAGGTCCATTTATCTTCACAGGGAAACTGTTTTAATCTGCAAGAACCTGCTACAGATACGTGTATCTAAATTAAAAATGTGAATGTGAGACAGCTGAAATAGCTCAGTTGGGAGAGCATCAGTCTGAAGATGCGGCTTTTTTTTCTGTAAAATATATTATGAATGTTCTGTTAGTCTGTGGCTAATATAATTTTAATAAAGTTCATTTAAATCTGGTAGAAAAATGAAATTTTAAACAATCATTTTAGAGAATGCTATTATACCCAGTATTCTGTTTTCTTTTAATAAATGAGGGAACTATTGGGGGAAAGAAATAAATACATTTTCTTTCATTTTATTAAGACAAATTTAGTAAGCAAAAGAAATTTGCACGTTTAGTTAGAAGGGTTTCTTTCTTCCTTACAAGTTGGAAAAACATAATTCTAATTTGAGGGTAACTCTTTGACAGTGAACCCTGTGAACAACTGATGGTACTTGTTGTTGTGTTTAAAAACATGGGTTGAGACCCTAGCCCTGCACTTGCAGGCCTAGTGCCATTAGCCTGCAGGCTGTGCTGGATATCTCAGGGCAAGAGTTGAGCCCTTTTGATTTTGGGGGGATTATTTCAATATATTTCTTTTTCTTTTTGTTTTAGTTAATGTGGAGCTCAAATATGCCTTATTTTGCACAAAAGACTGCCAAGGACATGACCAGCAGCTGGCTACAGCCTCGATTTATATTTCTGTTTGTGGTGAACTGATATTTTTTTAAACCAAAGTTTAGAAAGAGGTTTTTGAAATGCCTATGGTTTCTTCGAATGGTAAACTTGAGCATCTTTTCACTTTCCAGTAGTCAGCAAAAAGCAGTTTGAATTTTCTTGTCGCTTCCTATCAAAATACTCAGAGACTCGAGCACAGCACCCAGACTTCATCCCCCCGTGGAATGCTCACCACATGTTGGTCGAAGCGGCCAACCACTGACTTCATGACTTAGGCGGCTGTGTTGCCTATGTAGAGAACACGCTTCGCCCCCACTCCCTGTACAGTGTGCACAGGCTTTATTGAGAATAGGGAAACCCTTACACCCCGGTCATCCGGACATCCCGACGCATGCTCCTGGAGCTCACAGCCTTCTGTGGTGTCATTTTTGAAACAAGGGCTTGGGTCCCTCAACCAAGAATAATGTTTATATCTTCATTGGCCTGTACTGCTTGGGGACTATTGGAGAAAATAAGGTGGAGTCCTACTTGTTTAAAAAAAAATATATCTAAGAATGTTCTAGGGTAATCTGGGAACCTATAAAGGCAGATATTACGGGCCCTCCTTTTCAGGAACCTTCCTGAAGACATGGCCTAGTTGAAGGCCCAGGATGGCTTTTGCCATGGCCCCATGGGGTAGGAGGGACAGAGAGACAGGGAGAGTCAGCCTCCCCATTCAGAGGCATCACAAATAATGGCATGATTCTTCAGATGATTGCAGAAAATAGTGTTTCATAGTTCAACAACTCAAGACAAAGCTTATTTCTGAGGATAAGCTCTTTAAAGGCAAAGCTTTATTTTCCTCTCTCATCTTTTGTCCTCCTTGGCACAATGTAAAAAGGAATAGTAATATCAGAGCAGGAAGGAGGAATGGCTTGCTGGGGAGCCCATCCAGGACACTGGGAGCACCTAGAGATTCACCCATGTTTGTTGAACTTAGAGTCATTCTCATGCTTTTCTTTATAATTCACACATATATGCAGAGAAGATATGTCCTTGTTAACATTGTATACAACATAGCCCCAAATATAATAAGATCTATACTAGATAATCCTAGATGAAATGTTAGAGATGCTATATGATACAACTGTGGCCATGACTGAGGAAAGGAGCTCGTGCCCAGAGGCTGGGCTGGTCTCCCAGAGGCCAAACCCAAGGAGGTCTGGCAAAGTCAGGCTCAGGGAGACTCTGCCCTGCTGCAGCCCTCGGTGTGAACACACGCTGCACAGAGGTCTCCTTGAAAACAGAGGGGTCTCAAGACATTCTGCCTACCTATTAGCTTTTCTTTATTTTTTTAATTTTTGGGGGGAAAAGTATTTTTGAGAAGTTTGTCTTGCAATGTATTTATAAATAGTAAATAAAGTTTTTACCATTAAAAATAAAAATCTCTTTCCCTTTGTTATTGACCATCTCTGGGCTTTGTATCACTAGTAAAATAATCCTGAAAGGGGAAAATATTTTAGCTGTAGTGGGTAACTTCGTAAACACAAACGTTTCCCTGCTTTCCTCTCTAGCAAAAGAACCCAAGTCAGTTTCCATGGCTTTGTGGGCAACCTATGGAGGCATTGGATCATATCCGCAAGATGGTCCAATTCTAGGAGGTTGTATTGTTGGGACAGTCTGTGGCCCAGGTTTGATCAGGTCAGCAATGTGCACCTATGTGACTGGTCCTTGCCTTTTTGGGGTTGTGCCCTGTATTGTTGCATCTAACACTAGCAGCCGTCCACGGACAAGCAGGGAAGGACCAGAACAGACACTCAGCAATTAAGTCTCATGCCCTTTACTGCTGTGTCCCCTTCCCATCTCCAAGCAGAGAGTGGCCCTTCTCTGCTCCAAGTAGAAGTGGTTCTGGGATCTAAGTCCCCTATCTGCAGCCTTGGAACAATTGTTACTTGTCAAAGCCACTTTAGACAAAAACACTGAGCCTGTGGCTTCAGGGCATCCAAGGATAAATTGCTGTCGAAGAGTTACCTCCTGTCTAGCACCATGTCTGATTTGTTGATGAAACATCTAAAATACCCTTATCACATGTGTTGTATGTGATGAGCAGCAAGTTGGTTCTGTAAGTGTTCAGAGGATGGGGATTATGGGGTGTGGTCTCAGGCTGATCACATGAGAAACCAGGAAAACTGAGAAGGCAGGCCCCTTGGGGGTGCTGTGACTGCAAAGCTGTGAAGATGGAGGGAGACAGTGAGCAGAGGGAGCCCATTGCAGGGAGCAGTCACCAAGTGCTGTGGAGAGTTATGTGGCAGAATCCTGGAGCACCTAGGAAGCGAGGCCAAGTGTCTGGAAATCCAGGCCCGGAGCATGGCAACCCCTTGGGAGCTGCTGAAGAGCTATGAGCTGCAAAATAATGCTTGCCTTCTAAGCCCACTAGGTTTGTTTTCCTGGGAGCCACCAACTCATGTGCCCTTTCTTGTCCTCATTTCTTAACCTCTAACTTCTGCTGCTTCCCACACTTCATGATGATGCATTCTATGTGTCAACTTGACTGGGCAATGGGGTGCCCAGATACAGCATCTGTGAGGGTGATACTGTGAGCATAGTATCTGTGAAGGTGTTTCCAGATGAGATTAGCATTTAAATCAGTGGACTCAGTAAAGTAGATTGCCCTCCCCAGTGTGGGCAGGGCAGCATCCACTGATCCATTAAGGTTCTGAATAGAACAAAAGGCAGAGGAAAAAAGAATTTGTGCCTTTTATCTGCCTGCCTGGGCAAAATTGCACCACCAGCTTTCCTGGTTCTCCAACTCGCAGGTTACAGATGATGAGACTTAGCCTCTATACTTATATAAGCCAATTTTTTGTAATAAATCTTTTTTGGTGGATGATTAGAGATAGGTAGGTAGGTAGATAGACTAGATAGATGACAGATTAGATAGATGATAGATAGATAGATAGATAGATAGATAGATAGATAGATAGATAGATAGATAGATGATTGATTAATAGATTATAGATATAACCTGTTGGTTCTATTTCTCTGGAAAACCCTGACTAACACATAATACCTATGATCACCTATTCCCTCTAAATGCTCTCCTGCCACTTCCAGTAAATACCTTAAAATTGCATACTCTCATTCTCCTCCAGACCCTCCAGTTCCTCTACCTCCCTGCCTTGGCCTCCCAGGTAGACTCATGGGGCCTCTTCTGATCCTCTGCTATCTTCCTCAACCAACTTCTGCTCCCTCAGACTTTTGCTTCCACTAACCCCTAAGGTCACATGTACCCAAGCAACCTGCACACACACACACACACAAACACACAGAAATGAACAAGTAAGGGTGGTCTCCTCCATGGGAGTCAAGGCAATGCAGGTGCTACAACAATAGCTTCCTAAGATTCAGTTATCAAATCAGCACACTTTAGGAAAAATAACAATCACCGGTGTTAATGAGGGTGTCCTAATGGGATTCCAGGTTCTCTGCTGTGGCAGCCTGTCTAGAGGGATGTTTCTGATCTAATCAAACTCCTTGAACTAGTCATCCCACTGCAGAAAGAAATCCCACAGGCATCATCAGAGACATGCACAGACAGTTAAGTACAAGGGCATTTTACACTGAAATGCATTGGTACAAAGGAATATTATGCTACCACTAAAAATGTTTTTGAATAGGAGTTACAATAAGAAAATGTCTGTGGTGGGCTAAAAGAAAAGCAGAATGCAATTATATTGCGTACACACACACATAAAACCAAAATGAAATACATCAAAATATTAACCATGGCTATGTGAGTGTAGATAATGTCCTTGTTTTATTTCTATTTTGATACAATCTCAATTTCCACAGTGAACATGATTTGTTTCTTTTCATTCAGAAAATCTTGCTGCATTTGTTATGCCCCTGCCTCTACTTCATGACTGAGCAATGAGCTTACATTTCCGTCAGCCCACTGGTCATCTCCAAGAAGTATGGGTGTCTCCTACAGCCCTGACCTCCTGGTCCAGCCACCTTCCCAAACCTTGGAAATTGTCTTGGCTTCTCTCTTTGTCCCACATGCAGGCATAATTCTTTATCCACTTTTTATACTCTAGAAGGGCACACAGCAGTGAACAAGCCATATAAAATCACTGCCCTTGTAAAGAAAGACAATAAACAAGATTAGTCAGTGGGATAGATAGGGTGCTCAATAGTGTTAAGTGCTATGGGGAAAAAAAATAAAGGAAAATGTGAAGTGACAAGTATTGTTAGTGCAGGGGGTTTTTTTCATCTTCTCTCTCTCTCTCTCCTTCCTTCCTTCCTTCCTTCTTTCCTTCCTTTCTTTCATTTTTAGAGAGGTTAGCCAAGGAAAGCCTCATTCAGAAGGTTACTCTTTTGTTTGTTTTTAATTGACAAATTATTATTTGTACATATCTATGGGGTACAGTGTGCATGTGTATAATGCATGTATACATTGTATAATAAATCAAGTCAGGGTAATTAGTATATCCATCATCTCAAACATTTATCATTTCTTTGTGGTGAGAGCATTCAAAATCCTCTCTTAGAACTATTTTGATATATGCATTATTGAGGAGCTCTCATGACCTAATCACCCTTAAAGGCCCCACCTCCTACCATCACATTGGCCATTAAGTCTCAACACCCAAATTTTTGCAGGGACACATTCAAGCCATAGCAGTATGAAATATCCAACATTTGAAATGAAGAATAAAGCAGATGGAATTTTTAAAAATGATACAGCTAGGCCAGGCACAGTGGCACACTTCTGTAATCTCAGAATTTTGGGAGGCCAAGGTTGGAAGATTACTTGAGCCTATGAGTTTGAGACAAGCTTGGGAAACATGGTGAGAACCTATCTCTACAAAAAATAAAAATAAAGAGCCAGGCATGATGGTGTGCACCTGTGGTCCCAGCTGCTTGGAAGGCTGTTGTGGGAGGATTGTTTGAGCCCACCATGTTTGTGCCACTGCACTCCTGCCTGAGTGACAAAGTAAAACCCTATCTCAAAAAAAAAAAAAAAAAAAAAAAGAATGGATACAGCTAAAGGACAATTTAGTAAAGGGGAAGAACAAGTTGAGGAACTCTCTTAAAAGGAAGCAGAAAGAATAATGACTGGGAAATACAAAAGATCAGTTGAGAGAAATGAAGGACAGAAACAGATATAGGTAACAGAAGTCCTAAGAAATACCTAAAGAAATTACAGAGATAATTTTTGCTAGGATTGAAAAAAAAGGAAGACTTTATATTGAAAGACCCCATAGAATGTAAAAAGAGATCATTTCAAAAGCATTGCCTGGTAAATTATGGTGAAATCTTAAAACAGCAAAGTTTCAGCACAGAAAGAACATACCACAGAAACCACATTTTTAAAGAGTGACTCTAGACACAGGAAGATGAGGGAAATAATTTAGAAGCTAGAGTTTTATACCCAGCTAAACTGTATTTAAAAGTGAGGGCATGATCAACTATTCTGAGGCATTGAAAATCCAGGATGTTTGCCACACAAAAGAAGCACATTTAAAATGTTTTTGAGGAAGACCTTCTATAAGAAGGGAACAAATCTTGGAAATGTTGAAAACATGTGTTAAGTGAAAGAGAATAAATAATGTGGTACACCAAATTTCTAGTGGGTACCAAAAACAGCTTATCTAGTTAAAAAAAAAAAAAAAAAAAACCATAGTCAGAAATTTATAAATACAAGGAGACTAGGATAAACAGAAATAATAAACCAAAGTGACATGAAAAGATTCCACTGTCAATACTAAAAAATTCGTGATCCTTAGTCAGGGAAAATGCTGCCCCCAGAGGACAACTGGCAATGTCTGGAGTCATTGTTAGCTTTCACAACTTGACAATGTTACTGGGATCAAGGGGATCAGGGATGCTGCTAAACGACCTACAATGCACACTAAACCACCACCTCCAAAAGAATTATCCCATCAAATTGCCAATAGTGCCAAGATTGAGAAACCTACATTTAAACAGATGTTAAAATTGACCACTACAAAGACAGATTTCATGGCTAAAAATTACATATTTTATTACAACAGACAATGATTGAAAGAAAAGCGATGGGAAAACACATATCAGGCAAAAATTATTCAAGACAAAGCTGGTAGTTATTTATATCAGACAAAACAATTTTAAGACAAAGAATATTTTCATAGAGTTAGAAAAAGTTACTACAAAATAATAAGAAGATAAGTTAATCAGGGACATTTAACAATTCTAAGCATGTGTGCACTTAATAAAATATCTTCACACTATTTTAACTAGAATTAAGTTAATTATAGGAAGAAATTTAAATGTTTGCCCTGTTTTCATTATTGATAGTTAAAAAGACCAAAATATCCATAGGGATTTAGAAGATCTAACAAGCCTAATCAAAGGA